ACAGTGAGAGAGCTGGATATGTCAGATGGGTAGCAGCTAGTGGGTAATAACAGCTAATGTAAGGTAGATGGATGAATGAACAATGATAACAACAATAACAAATAGTTACAACATTTATTTAACGTCAGTGATGTGCCAGCCTCTGTTCTGAATTTTTAGTGTTTATTAATACGTTTAAACATCATAGCAACCCTATGAAGCAAATACTATAATTATCATCATTTTATACACAGAGAAATCAAGGTGCAAAGAGGTTGACAAACTCACTTGAGTTTTCAAAATTAGTGAATGACAGAGCTGGGATCCAAATCCAGGTATCATTGTCCCAGCACCCATGCTTTTAACCTTACAATAGCACTGTCACTGAATATTTGTCATCTCTCTAGGGATACATACATGTTTGTGTGTGTGTGTGTGTGTGTAACTGGGTAATGGCTTCTCTTAGTGGGATTCTGACCATGAGTTCAAGCTGAAAAGCAAAACTGTTTTTGATTGTAGGGGAGTGGTTTGGAGCACTCTTCCAAAATTACCTCTTAAATTATAGAATGTTGTTACTACTTGTTACTTTTGAAAGTAAATAACAGAGTTTATAATAAATATAGAGTTTTATAGGCCACCAAACTGCTCTCATCTATACATTTTCTTAAGGTTTTGTCAATGACTATATAGTAATGTTAAGAATATTACCATGACCTTTGAAGAAGTTTTGTAACTTTCCAAAGATACACAGCTAATTAGGAAACTATTCAAGATTTAAACATAGTCTGATGCTTCAGTTCTTAAACTTTTCACTAATTTCAACAGAGACTGAATACAAGTTTGATTTGAAAACCGAGATGTGAAAGTTAGAAGAAAACAGTTAAAGTTACACAAATATATATACCTAATACCTTGAAAACAAAGTGTTACTACTCAACAGTATAAGAAGTAATAGTTAACAATATTATACAGATATACAAAATTAGATAGGCAATAGAATAACATAGTGAAACAAGATAATTGTTACTTCAGTCAACAAATTTATGTATGCCAACTGAATAGAAAAACACATATATAATTGCTAATACAGGGATACTCCAGGGAAAGGCTCAACCACATGTAAGTTAATTAGGGACAGTCAGCATGAAATCAAAGGAAAGAGATCATAGCCAACATTTGAAGAAAGCACATTCAAGAAGTAAGAAAACAGTGATGAACTGACTCCCACATTTTCAAAGCCCTGTAGAGACTGCTGGCTGAAGTGTTCTCCCTTGATACTGAAAAAGTCTTTTCTATCTAAAACTTTTCCTTTCTTTGAAAATTAAGAGATTGGAAATACCTCAATTGAAACTTTCAATAATAGGAAGCAGTTATAATGGGTGGCCTTTTTGATTGCAGAACTAAATATTCAACTAGTGTGAGACTCCAGTTTGGTACAGTTGAGAAATGCAAAGCAGAAGAAATTTTCTCCCTTCCACTTTGCATAGTAAAGACCTTAAGGAAAGAATGTACTGTTTATTGATAAAGCGTGTAGGGCAAGAAGGTTAAACGCACTGTGGACAGCATCAAAGTAGTTTTGAAACATACATGGCTAGAATATTTGGGGTCTTGAAAAGATAGCAAAATATAGATTATGACAGAAATAGAGGATATATAGGTGTTAAGAAAGCACATTTTGGGGGAAATGTATAATATTTAAGTGAAGGCAAACACAACACACTCAGAATCTGGAGCCTTTTAGTATTCTAAAATACTGGAGCTTGATTCTGATCCTATTAAACCATAGAATATGAAAATAACAGAACATATAGAAAAATACACAAGTCAGTTTCTCTGTCTCTCCTTTCCCCTCTAATTATCTTTCTTGCTTTTCCATTTGATTCTCCCTCTCCCTCACTCTTTCTGTGTGTATCAGAGTAAAGAGAATCTCAGGTAATTTTTTCTTTTTTTTTTTTTTTCTGAGACAGAGTTTTACTCTTGTTGCTCGGGCTGGAGTGCAATGGCATGATCTTGGCTCACTGCAACCTTGGCCTCCTGGATTCAAGCAATTCTCCTGTCTCAGCCTCCCAAGTAGCTGGGATTATAGGTGCATGCCATCATGCCCAGATAATTTTTGTATTTTTAATAGAGACAGGTTTCATCATATTGGTCAGTCTGGTCTTGAAATCCTGACCTCAGGTGATCCACCCACCCCAGCCTCCCAAAGTGCTGGGATTACAGGTGTGAGCCACCACACCTGGCTCAGGTAACATTTTCTAAACCAGAACTAGTGAGGGCTTTGTTGTGTTTATTGTCAGGGACAGATGACAGATGTTGAG